ACCACCACCAGTCTTGAGAACATTTCTCCAACCACGCCGATCCCTGAGACTACCAATCCTGAGGCCACCAGTGACCAATGGACCACCACCAGTCTGGACACTGTTTCTACCAGCTCTGAGACCACCAGTGACCCAGGAACTACCACCAGTCTTGAGAACATTTCTACCACCCCTGAGACTCCCATGACCATCGCTGAGACCACCACTGACCAATGGACTTCCACCAGTGACCAATGGAGCACCACCAGTCTGGAGACCATTTCCACCACCCCTGAGACCACCATGACCGTCCCTGAGACCACCAGACATGAAACCACCAGTGACCAATGGACAGCCACCAGTTTGGAGGCCATTTCCCCCACTACCCCTGACACCACCATAACCACTCCTGAAACCACCCTCCCCGAGACCTCCAGCACCATCCCTGGGACCACCACCAGCCATGAGACTGTTTCTGTCACACCTGGGACCACCACAGTCCCTGACAACACCACGATCTTCTCTGAGACCACCAGCACCTTCCCTGGGACCACAACCAGAACACCTGGGACAAACACCAGCCCTGAGACATCAACGTTCCCTGAGACCATCACGACCCCTGACACCACCATCACCTTCCCTGAGACCACCAGACCTGAGACAGTTTCTATGACACCTGGGACCACCACAGTCCCCAGCATCACCGGCACCATCCCTGAGACCACCAGTAAGGAGGCCACCAGTGGCCAATGGACATCCATCCCTGAGACCACCAGTGTTGAGACCACAATTGACCCATGGATCACCGCCAGTCATGAGACCATTTCTACAGTCCCTGGGACCACCATGACCATCGCTGAGACCACTAGTTCTGAGATCACCACCACAGTCCCTGACACCACCACCACCATCTCAGAGACCACCACAACCCCTGGCACCACCACAGTCACCCCTGAAACCACCCTACCTGAGACCACCAGCACAATCCCTGGGACCACCACCAGTCCTGAGACAGTTTCTATGACACCTGGGACCACCACAGTCCCTGGCACCACCACCACCTTCTCTGAGACCACCAGCACCTTCCCTGGGACCACAACCAGAACACCTGGGACAAACACCAGCCCTGAGACATCAACGTTCCCTGAGACCACCACGATCTCTGTCACCACCACGACCTTCCCTGGGACCACCAGTTCTGAGATCACCACCACCATCCCTGAGACCACCAGTCCTGAGACCGCCAACACCATCCCCAGCACCACCAGCTCTGAGACCGTTTCTATCACACCTGGGACCACCACAGTCCCTGGCACCACCAGCACCTTCTCTGAGATCACCACCCCTGGGACCAACTCCACCATCCCTGAGACCACCACCACCATCCCTGAGACCAACACCATCCCTGGGACCAACACCTCCACCCCTGAGACCACCACCACCCGTGGGACCAACTCCACCCCTGGGACCAACATCTCCACCCCTGAGACCACCACCACCCGTGGGACCAACTCCACCCCTGGGACCAACATCTCCACCCCTGAGACCACCACCACCCGTGGGACCAACTCCACCCCTGGGACCAACATCTCCACCCCTGAGACCACCACCACCCGTGGGACCAACTCCACCCCTGGGACCAACATCTCCACCCCTGAGACCACCACCACCCGTGGGACCAACTCCACCCCTGGGACCAACATCTCCACCCCTGAGACCACCACCACCCGTGGGACCAACTCCACCCCTGGGACCAACATCTCCACCCCTGAGACCACCACCACCCGTGGGACCAACTCCACCCCTGGGACCAACATCTCCACCCCTGAGACCACCACCACCCGTGGGACCAACTCCACCCCTGGGACCAACATCTCCACCCCTGAGACCACCACCACCCGTGGGACCAACTCCACCCCTGGGACCAACATCTCCACCCCTGAGACCACCACCACCCGTGGGACCAACTCCACCCCTGGGACCAACATCTCCACCCCTGAGACCACCACCACCCGTGGGACCAACTCCACCCCTGGGACCAACATCTCCACCCCTGAGACCACCACCACCCGTGGGACCAACTCCACCCCTGGGACCAACATCTCCACCCCTGAGACCACCACCACCCGTGGGACCAACTCCACCCCTGGGACCAACATCTCCACCCCTGAGACCACCACCACCCGTGGGACCAACTCCACCCCTGGGACCAACATCTCCACCCCTGAGACCACCACCACCCGTGGGACCAACTCCACCCCTGGGACCAACATCTCCACCCCTGAGACCACCACCACCCGTGGGACCAACTCCACCCCTGGGACCAACATCTCCACCCCTGAGACCACCACCACCCGTGGGACCAACTCCACCCCTGGGACCAACATCTCCACCCCTGAGACCACCACCACCCGTGGGACCAACTCCACCCCTGGGACCAACATCTCCACCCCTGAGACCACCACCACCCGTGGGACCAACTCCACCCCTGGGACCAACATCTCCACCCCTGAGACCACCACCACCCGTGGGACCAACTCCACCCCTGGGACCAACATCTCCACCCCTGAGACCACCACCACCCGTGGGACCAACTCCACCCCTGGGACCAACATCTCCACCCCTGAGACCACCACCACCCGTGGGACCAACTCCACCCCTGGGACCAACATCTCCACCCCTGAGACCACCACCACCCGTGGGACCAACTCCACCCCTGGGACCAACATCTCCACCCCTGAGACCACCACCACCCGTGGGACCAACTCCACCCCTGGGACCAACATCTCCACCCCTGAGACCACCACCACCCGTGGGACCAACTCCACCCCTGGGACCAACATCTCCACCCCTGAGACCACCACCACCCGTGGGACCAACTCCACCCCTGGGACCAACATCTCCACCCCTGAGACCACCACCACCCGTGGGACCAACTCCACCCCTGGGACCAACATCTCCACCCCTGAGACCACCACCACCCGTGGGACCAACTCCACCCCTGGGACCAACATCTCCACCCCTGAGACCACCACCCCCATCCCCGAGACCAACTCCACCATCCCTGAGACCACCACCACCATCCCTGAGACCAACACCATCCCTGGGACCAACACCTCCACCCCTGAGACCACCACCACCCGTGGGACCAACTCTGGGACCAACACCACCCCTGGGACCAACATCTCCACCCCTGAGACCACCACCACCATCCCTGAGACCAACACCATCCCTGGGACCAACTCCACCATCCCTGAGACCACCACCACCCCTGGGACCAACACCACCCCTGGGACCAACACCACCCTCCGTATGACCACCACCTCCAACCATACAACCACTACCACCACTACCACACCTAGGACCACCCGTAGAACCACCACCATCACCACCACCATGACCACCATGACCACCATGACCACCACTCCCCACTCCACCACCACTCCAGGTACTTCCCACCCCTCCTTCCCCCCTGGCCCGTTTCCACGTCCCTTCCAGTTCCTTTTCCATCCCTTCTCCTTCCAGGAATCTGCAACAACGGTGGCACCTGGGTCAACGGCCACTGCCAATGTCCCCTCGGCTTCACCGGGGACAGGTGTGATGACATCAGCAACACCATCGAAACCAAGGCTGGTAGGAATTCCATCTTTTTTTGGGATGCATCCGATGCTGGGGTAAGATCTGAGGGGTGAGGAAGATCTCAAGGGGCTCTCCGGGTGTATCTCAAAGAACCTCCTCCGTAGGTCCTCTTCCTCCTCCTCCAAAGCTGTCCCACGTGGATCCAACCCTTCAGGTGGATCTCCATGGTCATTTCCAAGCTGTTTCCTGCTTGGAAATGGGTCAAGAATCATCAGAGTCTCTCAGAACCCCAAAATTTGGGAAGAGGCGGTTGGTTCCACCAGATCCTGCCCACTGAGGGTGAGGCAGGATCTACCTGAGATTCCCACCTGGAAATTTTTGGGACATGGGGGATGACCCGGCTCCAAACCATCAGCAGGATCAGGATCCACTTGGGAGGACCAGGTGGGAATTTTGGGAAATGGAACACTGCCCAGTCCTTGCTGGGATCACCAAGTGGAGCCATCAATGGTCTCTTCCCATGGGTGGAAGGTGTTTCTCCTGGTTCCTTCACAACAACCCCCAAGTTCAGGGGATTTAGGGGGAGATTTATGGGCCCCACCTGCCTGGGAAGGTCTCTCTGCCCCACCTCCTTCATGGGCTGGTTTTGGACATTCCCAGAGACCAACGGGACGGTGCAGGTGGTGCTGCACGTCATCAACCGGGACTTCACCGAGGACCTTAAGAACACCAGCTCATCCACCTACATCAATTTCGTCGAGGAGTTCACCAAGCAGGTAAAGACACACAAGACCCCACCTGGGGTTGGGATCTACATGGTGGAGCAGCCAGGTCATCCCAAGTTCTCCAAGAACTTCTCCAGGTTCTTGCATGGTGTTCCCCGGGTCCACCGGGATGGATTTTGGGGGGGAACACCCAAAAGGAGGGAGATCCAGGAGGATGAGAAGGGAACGGACCCAACCATCCCACCTGGAGACATCTTCTCTTCCAGATGGACGCGGTCTACACCGACATCGAGGGGTACAAGGGCATCGAGGTGAACAGTCTCAGGTGAGTGCCGGGGTCATTGGGATGGGCATTTTGGGGTCATTCCATGGGAAAAGGGCATTTGGATCGGGACGGTGGCGTTTCTGTCCAGGCCTGGCAGCGTGGTGGTGGATCACACCATCATCGTGTCCCTGAGGGTGACCTCCCAGAGCCAGGAGAAGCTCCAGAACATCACGGCCAAAGTGCAGCGGAGGATCGAGGTGGCAGCAACGCAATTCAACTGCACCAACGGTACCTTGTCACCTTCCCACCGTGGGGCTGGGGACAACCGGGGCCATCCATGGGGTGGGGGACACCTTCCCACCCACCCAAACCACCCCAGACAGCCCAGATGGGGGCTGTGGGTCTGTGCCCCCACCAGTTTGACCTCTCTTACAGGTGACCTGTGCTTCAACTCCTCCAACGTGGAGATCAACAGCACCACGCTGGAATTCGATGAAGATGGGGAGTGGGTGGGTGGGTGGGATTCATGTGGGTCTGGGGTCTCCAGAGTCCCTCCAGGTGACCTCTGTCCCCTCTCCAGCCTACTGCTGGAGCCAAGTGCCCGAGGGCTACCAGGAATTCTTCTTTCCCAACCTGACGAACTCTGGGTTGTCCTGCATGTCCAACTGCACGCCGGGCACCGCCAGCACCATCGACTGCAGCCGTGGGACGTGCCACATCACCCGCGGAGGTCCTCAGTGCTTGTAAGGGCTGAAGGAAATTCGTCCTCCTCCTTCAAAGCTGTCCCGCATGGATCCAACCCTTCAGGTGGATCTCCGTGGTCATTTCCAAGCTGTTTCCTGCATGGAAATGCATCAAGTATCATCAGGGCTTGAGCAGATTCTTGGTCCACATGGTGGATCTCTGTGGTCAAGTCCAAGCTGTTTTCTGCATGGAAATGCATCAAGTATCATCAGAGCTGGAGCAGATTCTTGGCCCACATGGATCCAAACTTCTGGTGGATCTTCAGAATCCTTTCCAATCTCCTTTGTGCATGAAAATGGGTCAAGAATCATCAGTTGGAGCAGGGTCTTGGTCCAACATGGATCCAACCCTTCTGGTGTAACTCCAGGCCCACCTCTGAGGTTTTCTCTGCAGAACAAGAGGTCAAAAATCATTGAGGTTGGTGTAGGGTCTTCCTCTACATGGATCCAAACCTTCTGATGGATCTCCATGGTCATCTCCAGGTTTAAACCCCTGAGATGGAGCAGAATCTTGCTTCAAGCGGGGCTTGAGGCTGCAGAAATGGCGTTGGGGTGGGAGGGGGTTCTTCTGAGGGGGTCCCAGCTTTGCTTTGACCCCCTTATCCCACCCCACCAGCTGCGATGAGACACACCTGTACTGGTACCAAGATGACCGCTGTACATCACGGGTCAGCAAACTGGCCGTGGGCCTGGGCTTGGCCGTAGCCATCCTGGTCATTGTGGTCATCGTCCTCTCCATCTTCCTCTTCCGAGCTCGGAGATCTGGGTCCTTTGACAGGTGAGAGGGGGCAGGTTGGGGGGTCTCCATGAGGTGGGAGGGCTCTTCGTGTTGGTGATTTCCAAGATGTTCTTCATCCTCAGTGAGGTCCTGAGGGTTGGGGGGGGGGGAGCCTTGGTCCTTTGTGGGGGTGTGGAGGAGCTGGGGGGCTCCAGGCAGGGATGGACCTGCTGATGGTGACCGCCCCGCACCCCCTGCCCCATCCCCAGGGCCGAGCAGAAGATGATGGAGAATTGGTACCAGAATATCAGTGAGGACTGGAGCCCCCAGGGAAACTTCACCTTCCGGAACGAAGGTGGGCGTGGAGTGGGTGAGGGGTCTCTGGTGACCCCATGGGAGTGGTGGAGTTGGTTTGTGCCCCCCATCCCCAGCCCAAGCACCACCACTGAACCCTCCTGTCCCACAGGTGTCCAGCTTGAGGATGACCATCCAGTCAACCTTGAGACCGTGGACACGTCGGTGCCGGTGAGTTCCCCCCGCCTTCCTGCCATGGTGGGACCATGGTAGTGGGGACACCTCAGATGTTCCTGACACCCAATTTTCCATCGGATCTTCTCCGGCATATCCCAACAGATCCAAATCCCTCGGCCGCAGAAGTTCATCACGCAGCTCTGAGACATGGTGGGGTGGTGACTTCCACCACCAGAACCTCACCATCATTGTCATCGTCATCGTCATCAATGTCATCAGTGTCATCAATGTCAGTATCATCATCACGAACATGAGCAACATCAAAATCTTCTTCATCATCATCACCATCATTATTATCACGATCGACATGATTGCCATCATCATCATCATCATCACAATTGCCATCTACATCATCATCACCATCATCACCATCATCGTCACCATCATCCCCATCACCAACCCCATGGAACGAGGTCCCCCCCAGCACTGCAGGACAACCTGGACCTTCTCCTGGGGGGGGCACCTTGACCCCCTGCCCTCGTCTTCATCCTCCTCCTCCTCTTCCTGTATCCCTCATCCTCTTCCTGTGAGCACTTTTAGGTGGTGACCCCACTTTTAGGACGTGGGGACCTCACCTCCAGCTGCACTTTTGGGTCCTGACCCCACCTGAAAGGTCATGTCCCCATCTCCAAGGTCATGCCCCCACCTTCCTCCCTCCCCAAATTCAAGGGTGAAGTTCCCCCCCCCCCACCCAAGAAAGGGGGCTGGACCCTCTCCTTCTCAATGAAGTCACTCAAACATCTCTGGTGTTACTGGTTTGTACTGGGAGAACCCCAGGGATGGCTTGGGGAGGGGACAAACATCCCCTCTATTTTTGGGGGTGACACACACACACCCACCTGGGACCCCCCCTACTCCAACAGGGGACACTCCCACCGCATTCCAGCACCTGCCAGGTGTGTTTGGGGCCACACCTGGCCACACCTCCAGGTACTGGGGACTTTGTCCCCATTCCCGGCTCCGGTTGCCAAAACATAAAAATGTTGATTTTAGCCTGGGAAGGGTGGGGCGGGAATTGGCTGAGGGCCAAGTGCCAGTGCCAGGGTGGGACGTGTCCTCCTGCCACGTCCGTGGCATGGGAGGAGGTGATGGGGGTGCTGGTGGGGGTGGTGGGGTCACGGTGGTCATGGTGGTCACGGGACTGGAGTGGTCATGGTGGTCATGGTGGTGATGGGACTGGAGTGGTCGTGGTGGTGGTGGGGTCATGGTTGTCATGGTGGTGAGGGTGGTGGTCATAATGGTGGTGGGAAGTGTGGTCGTGGTGGTCCATTGTCCACCTTAGGACCTCCTCAGTGTCCCCCACTCATGGGTGGTACCACCTTGGGACCCCCTCAGTGACCCCAACAACTAAAGGTGGTGCCACCTCGAGACCACTTCAATGTCCCCCAACAACCATGGGTGGTGCCACCTTAGAACCCTCTCAATGTCCCCTCCACTCGTGGTACCATCTTGAGACCCCTTAGTGTCCCCCAGTCAAGGGTGGTGCCACCTTGGGACCCCCTCAATGTTCCCACCACTCATGGGTGGTGTCACCTTGGGACCCCCTCAATGTCCCCTCCATTCATGGGTGGTGCCACCTTGGGACCCCCTCAATGTCCCCTGCTCCTGGAGCCACCACAGCTGTCCCACCCTCCTTCTCCGAGCCCTTTGTCCCCGTGGGAAGGAGGTGTGGAGGAACCTCCAGGGTGACATTTCATTCCAGGGCTGGGGACAAGGGGACACTTTCTCCCACACATGTCACCAGCTGTGGCTGGGGTGCCCCAAGGGCGGTTCCAAATTGCTCGGTCAATAATTACCTCACTCCAATATTTCCTTTTCCTGATTTAGGTGTTTTCCCTCGGGTTTGCACTTTGTCCCCAGCCCAGACTTGGCTCTGTCATGGAGCCACCTCGTGTCCCCAAGAGGAATTGGACAGGTGACAATAAAGCTCAGGATGCATTTAATTATAAATAATCTGTGTGCAAAAGTCTGCGTGGGGAGGAAGAGGATGGTGGATCTCCTGATTCTCGTCACCCCCACATCCTCGTGTCCCCGTGTCCTGTCTCTGCTGGACCTCAGGTGGCTTCACTCAGGGGACCATGGTGGGTCTCTGGATGTGTATCTGGGGATGAAGAAGAGAGGAGGATGATGGTGGGGTGGGGAGAAACAGGGGGACAACACCAGGGTCCTGGGACACGTCACCCACCGTCCTCGAGGTGTCCACCCTCTCCAGGTTGATGTAGCTGATGTTGGAGGTCTCCATGTCTGTGGGGTGGAAGAAGAGGTGCCATGGACTCCTGGATGCCACAGCGACCCCCACCCCATCCCCACCCCCGTCCCCACCTCCATGCCCGTTACCTTCCCAGGTGGCTGCCGGGTTGGCCACGGTAAAGCCTTGGGATCCGTCCCAGTTGCCGTCGTCACTGCTGTACATCTCCGAGCGGGACCTCAGCTTCTTTCTGCGTGGTGGGAACCACAGGGATGAGACCCGGGACCACCACGGGACCTCCCCAGCTCACCCCATGGTGACACATTTACCTGTACTGCTCCTTCTGCCTCCGAGATCTCAGCAGGAGGATGGTGAAGGTGGTGGTGACCAGGACCAGGATGGCCACAGGAACGCCCACGCCCACCCCAACCTTGCTGATGCGGGAGCTGCAGGCTTTGTCCAGGTACCAGAAGGCCACCTGGTCCGAGCACCTGGTGGGAATGGTCATGGTGGGTTTGGTGGTCAGGGTGGTGGGGTCACCGTGGTCATGGTGGTCATGGGGTCATCATGGTCATGGTGGTGGAGTCACCGTGGTCATGGGGGTCATGGTGGTCAGGGTGGTCACAGTGATCATGGTGGTTATGGTGGTGGGGTCACCATGGTCATGGTGGTCATGGTGGTGGGGTTGTCATGTGGGTTATGGGGGGTCATGGTGGTGGAGGTGGTCGTGGGGGTGGAGTGGTCACTTGTGAGGTCATCACAACAACCATGGGAGTTGGGGATGATCATGGGGCTCATGGGGTGGTCACAGCCCTGGGGTCACGACTGTGGGCGGATCATGGTGATCACGCTGGTGAGAGCCATGGCATTGGGGGGGGCACCATCCATTTTTGGGGGGCGGGTCCTTACTCGCACTGCGGCCCCGCCCGGCCCACGGAGCAGCGGCCGTAGACGCAGGGCAGGGAGTCGGTGTGACGGCTGTCGCAGCGGGTGATGCAGATGACGCCGGTGCTGGTCAGGTACATAGTGTAGTAGGATCTGAACTCCTCCTTGATGTAGGTGTCACACAGATCTGAGAGTGGAGACGCAAGGCTCAGGTTTTGGGGTTATTCAGAGGGGTGGGGGACACCCAAACACCTCGTGGGCTTCACTTACTTTCTTCCACCTGCGTCATGTCAACGTTGACGACAGAGGTGACGTTGCTGACGAAGCAGACACCTAGCATGGAGAGAGGAGCTGCTGGTGGGCAACCCCAAGGCCAACCATCCCCAGCGAGGAGCCAGTCCCGGCGGGGTGACCCCCGAGGTCACTCACAGTCGCTCTCTGTGCAGTCCTCGCTACAGTTGTAGTTTTGGATGGCAGTGACGAGGTTCTCCGAGATGCTCTTCACTGTCTTGTTGGTCTCGGAGGTGACGGGGATCTCCAGGTTGACGTCATAGTCCACTTGGATGCTGCCCGCGCTGGGAGGAGAAGTGGTAGGACTTGGTTCTGGACCAAACTGGGACCAGTATGGGATGTCCAGTGTGGAGGGATGCCACAGTTACATGGGGGATGGACTGTCCTGGAGGAACTCCATGGACACAATGTGGCTTGGAGGGATGTGGATGCTCCAAGTTTGAAGGGAATCACCTCAAACTGACCCCCATGGCTCCCTTCACCCCAAACCACCCCACCAAAGATCTGGAGAGGGTTAGGACCCCACCTGGTCACTAGTGGAGACTCACCTCAGGCTTTTGATCACCACACCTTTGTACCCTTCGATACCCTTATAAAGCTTCTGCATCTGGAAGACAAAGAGAAGCCAGGGGAGATCCAGACCCTCATAATGCTCCACATAACCCCCTCAAGGGGCTGGCCCCAGGGTCACCCCAGCACCGCTGAGTCCTGACCTTCTCCTGGAATGTTTTGTTAAAGTCCTGGTAAGCCTCTGAGGATGTATTTTTGAGATCGTCATTAAATGTCCCCTCGATTTTGGTCATCATCACCACCGTCGCGTTTATCGTCACTTGGCCAAACAGAGAAGACCCATAAGGAAGAGACCCCAGGTGTCCCCATCCCACCCCTGGTGACCTTGGTCAGGGGGGACCAGCTCGGTCCCTCCACAGTGACCCCAAACCCAGGTCGGTCTCACCAAGGTGAGCCCATTTCTTGATCGGTGCCTCTGTGGTGACCCAACCCCATCCTGGGGTCAGTCCCTCCATGGTGGTCCCATTCCCAGGTCATACCCTCACCCCAACCCCCGGCTGACCCCTCAGAGGTGACCTCAGCCCAGGTCCTACTCTGGTGGCCACCCCACAGAACTTTGGGACGGTTCCCTACCATTTTTAATCTCCACGATGTCCTTGGCGTTCTGGCACCTGTCCCCTTGGAAATTGGGGGGGCACTGGCAGGAGCCGCTGGCCCAGGTGCCCCCGTTTTGGCAGACGAGCTCCTCGCAGTGGTCACCTTGGAACCCCCCGGGACACACGCACTTGCCATCTTCCCAGGTGCCACCATTCTGGCACTGACCTGAGAGAGGGACCCAAGGACACAGGAGATGTGACACGGCCTGGAGAACCCCAGGAGCCACCTGGAGAATGCTGGGAGTGGGTCAGGGAGAAGGGACATGGCTATGGAGGGCCACTAAGCAGGAAGACTCACCTGGACTCGTGACTGTGGTTGTCGTGGTGGTGGTGGTAGTAGTGGTGGTCATGGTGGCTGTAGTTGACTCAGTAGGGGTGGCTGAGGTGGTTGAGGTGGTTGACGTGGAGGTTGGAGAAGAGGTTGGCATGGTGGTGGGCATGGTTGTTGGGGATGAGGTGGGCGTAGAGGTTGGCATGGACGTTGGGGTCAAGGTGGGCGTGGAGGTTGGCGTGGAGGTTGGTGTCGAGGTTGATGTGGACGTGGACGTGGAGGTGGACGTGGAGGTTGGTGTGGAGGTTGACGTGGAGGTCGGTGTGGTGGTGGGTGTGGACGTTGGTGCGGAGGTGGGTGTAGATGTTGGCGTTAAGGTCAGCATTGAGGTTAGAGTAGAGGTTGGCGTAGAGGTGGGTGTCGAGGTTGGGGTCGAGGTTGACATGGAGGTTGCTGGGGATGTAGGCGTGATGGTGGGCATGGAGGTGGGCGTGGAGGTTGGGGTCGAGGTTGCTGTGGAGGTTGCTGTGGAGGTTGGAGTCAAGGGGGGCGTGGAGTTTGGGGTCGAGGTCGGTGTAGAGGCTGGGGTCAAGGTTGGCGTGGAGGTTGCTGGGGAGCTGGATGTGGAAGTTGGAATGGAGGTTGACGTGGAGGTTGGGGTCATGGTCAGCATGGTGGTGGTTGTGGAGGTTGGGGTCGAGGTTAACAGGGAGGTTGGGGTCGAGGTTGGCGTGGAGATTGCTGGGGAGGTGGCTGTGGTGGTGGGCGTAGAAGTTGGAGTGGAGATTGATGTGGAGGTCGGTGTGGAGGTTGGGGTCGAGGTTGACGTGGAAGTTGACGTGGAGGTCGGTGTGGAGGTTGGGGTTGAGGATGACGTGGAAGTGGATGTCGAAGTTGGCGTCGAGGTTGACGTGGAGGTGGACTTGGTGGTTGGCGTGGAGGTTGGCATTGAGGTTGACGTGGAGGTCGGTATGGAGGTTGGGGTTGAGGTTGATGTGGAGGTGGATGTGGTGGTTGACGTGGAGGTTGGTGTTGAGGTGGATGTGGAGGTTGGCTTCGTTGACGTGGAGGTGGACATGGTGATCGGCGTGGAGGTTGGTGTCAAGGTTGATGTGGAGGTCAGTGTGGAGGTTGGGGTCGAGGCTGACGTGGAGGCTGGCGTCGACGTTGGGGTCGAGGTTGACATGGAGGTGGATATGGTGGTTGGCCTGGAGGTTGGCGTTGAGGTCAACGTGGAGGTGGATGCGGAGATCGGTGTGGAGGTTGGCGTGGACGTTGATGTGGGGGTTGGGGTCGAGTTTGACGTGGAGGTTGGCGTCGAGGACGACATAGAGGTTGGCGTCGAGGTTGATGTGGAGGTGGATGTGGTGGTGGATATTGTGGTTGGCGTGGAGGTTGGCGTGGCGGTCGGTGTGGAGGTTGGGGTCGTGGTTGACGTGGAGGTGGATGTGGTGATCAGCGTGGAGGTTGGTGTCGAGGTTGATGTGGAGGTTGATGTGGAGGTGGACGTGGTGGTCGGTGTGGAGGTTGGCATCAAGGTTGACGTGGAGGTTGGCGTCGATGTTGGCGTGGAGGTCGGTGTTGAGGTTGGCGTCGAGGTTGACGTGGAGGTGGATGTGGTGGTGGATATGGTGGTTGGTGTGGAGGTTGGCGTGGAGGTTGGCGTGGAGGTGGATGTGGTGGTTGGTGTGGAGGTTGGGGTCGAGGATGACATCGAGGTGGACATGGAGGTGGATGTGGAGGTTGGCGTCGAGGTTGACATGGAGGTTGGCATAGAGGTTGGCATGGAGGTAGGCGTCGAGGTTGACGTGGAGGTCGGTGTAGAGGTTGGCATCAAGGTTGACGTGGAGGTTGGCGTCGAGGTTGGGGTCGAGGTTGATGTGGAGGTTGATGTGGAAGTTGGCGTGGAGGTTGGCGAGGAGGTTGGGGTTGAGGTTGACGTGGACGTGGATGTGGTGGTTAACGTGGACGTTGGCATGGAGGTCGGTGTGGAGATCGATGTAGAGGTTGGCGTCGAGGTTGGCATGGATGTTGACATGTAGGTGGACGTGGTGATCGGCGTGGAGGTTGGCGTCGAGGATGACATAGAGGTTGGCGTCGAGGTTGGGGTCGAGGTTGACGTGGAGGTTGGCGTCGAGGATGACATAGAGGTTGGCGTCGAGGTTGGGGTCGAGGTTGACGTGGAGGTTGGCGTCGAGGATGTTGGGGTCGTTGGCGTCGAGGTTGATGTGGAGGTGGATGTGGTGGTGGATATGGTGGTTGGTGTGGAGGTTGGCGTTGAGGTCGGTGTGGAGGTTGGGGTTGAGGTTGACGTGGAGGTGGATGTGGTGGTCACTGTGGAGGTTGGGGTCGAGGATGACGTCGAGGTGGACATGGAGGTTGGCATAGAGGTTGGCGTGGAGGTAGGCGTCGAGGTTGACGTGGAGCTCGGCGTGGAGGTTGGCATCAAGGTTGATGTGGAGGTTGGCGTCGAGGTTGGGGTCGAGGTTGATGTGGAGGTTGATGTGGAAGCTGGCGCAGAGGTTGGCGTGGAAGTTGACGTGGAGGTTGGCGACGAGGTTGGGGTTGAGGTTGACATGGACGTGGATGTGGTGGTTGGCGTGGAGGCTGGCGTGGAAGTCGGTGTGGAGATCGGTGTGGAGGTTGGCGTCGAGGTTGGGGTCGAGGTTGATGTGGAGGTTGATGTGGAGGTGGACGTGGACGTCAGTGTGGAGGTTGACGTGGAGGTCAGTGTGGAGGTTGGGGTTGAGGTTGACGTGGAGGTTGGCGTCGAGGATGACATAGAGGTTGGCGTCGAGGTTGATGTGGAGGTGGATATGGTGGTTGGTGTGGAGGTTGGCGTGGTGGTCAGTGTGGAGGTTGGGGTTGAGGTTGACGTGGAGGTGGATGTGGAGGTTGGTGTGGATGTTGGCATGGAGGTTGGTGTCGAGGTTGACGTGGAGGTTGGTGTCAAGGTTGTCTTCAAGGTTGGGGTAGAGGTTGACGTGGAGGTGGATGTGGAAGTGGGCGTCGATGTTGGCGTGGAGGTCAGCATGGAGTTTGGTGTGGAGATTGATGTGGAGGTTGGTGTTGAGGTCAACGTGGAGGTCGGTGTGGAGTTTGGCGATGAGTTCGACGTGGAGGTCGGTGTGGAGGTTGGGGTCGAGGTTGACGTGGAGGTGGACGTGGAGGTGGATGTGGAGGTTGGCGTCGATGTTGTCATGGATGTTGGCCTAGAGGTTGGTGTGGAGGTAGGCGTGGAAGTTGACGTGGAGGTTGGCATCGAGATTGGGGTCGAGGTTGCCGTGGAGGTGGATGTGGTGATTGGTGTGGAGGTTGACCCGGAGGTCGGTGTGGAGTTTGGGGTCGAGGTTGATTTGGAGGTTGGCGTCGAGTTTGGGGTTGAGGTTGACGTGGAGGTGGACGTGGAAGTGGATGTGGTGGTTGGCGTCGGGGTTGGTGTGGAGGTGGGTGTGGAGGTTGGGATTGAGGTTGGCATGGAGGTGGATGTGGAAGTTGGCGTGGAGGTTGGTGTTGTGGTTGACGTGGAGGTTGGCGTGGAGGTGGACATGGTGGTGGGCGTGGAGGTTGGTGTCGAGGTTGATGTCAAGGCGGATGTGGAGGTGGATGTGGAGGTTGACGTGGAGGTTGGCGTCGAGGTTGGGGTCAAGGTTGACATGGAGGTTGACATGGAGGTCGGTGTGGAGGTTGGCGTCGAGGTTGGGGTTGAGGTTGACGTGGAGGTCGGTGTGGAGGTTGGGGTTGAGGACAACATAGTGGTTGGCGTGGAGATTGGGGTCGAGCTTGACGTGGAGGTGGATATGGTGGTTGGCATGGAGGTTGGCGTTGAGGTTGACGTGGAGGTTGTTATGGAGGTTGGGGTTGAGGTTGACGTGGAGGTGGACGTGGAAGTGGATGTGGAGGTTGGCGTCGGGGTTGGTGTGGAGGTTGACGTGGAGATCGGCGTGGAGGTGGGTGTGGAGGTCGGCGTCAGGGTTGGTGTGGAAGTTGATGTGCAGATCAGCGTGGAGGTTGCTGTGGAAGTTGACGTGGAGGTTGGTGTCGAGGTTGGGGTCGAGGTTGACATGTAGGTGGATGTGGTTGTTGGCGTGGAGGTTGGCGTGGAGGTTGGTGTCGAGGTTGATGTCGAGGTGGACATGGAGGTGGACGTGGCGGTTGATGTTGAGGTGGATGTGGAGGTTGGTGTTGAGGTGGACGTGGAGGTCGGCATGGAGGTTGGTGTCAAGGTTGATGTGGAGGTTGATGTGGTGGTTGGTGTTGCGGTGGATGTGGAGGCTGGTGTTGAGGTTGACGTGGAGGTCAGTGTGGAGGTTGGGGTAGAGGCTGACATGGAGGTGGATGTGGAGGTTGGTGTTGAGGTGGACGTGGAGGTCGGCATGGAGGTTGGTGTCAAGGTTGATGTGGAGGTTGATGTGGTGGTTGGTGTTGCGGTGGATGTGGAGGCTGGTGTTGAGGTTGATGTGGAGGTCGTTGTGGAGGTTGGGATTGAGGTTGATGTGGAGGTTGGCGTGGAGGTTGGCATGGGGGTTGACGTGGAGGTTGAGGTGGAGGTTAGCTTGGAGGAGGTCATGGTGGTGGGCTTGGATGATGGGGTCGAGGCTGGGGTCAAGATTGGTGTGGAGGTTGGCGTGGAGGTTGGGGATGAGCCGGGCGTGGAGGTCGGCGTGGGGGTCGGTGTAGAGGTTGGCGTGGAGGTTGATATGGAGGTGGAAGTGGCAGTTGATGTTGAGGTGGACGTGGAGGCTGGTGTGGAGGCGGGCGTGGAGGTAGGGGTCAAGGTTGACATGGAGGTTGGCATCGAGGACGACATAGAGGTTGGCGTCACGGTTGATGTGGAGGTGGGTGTGGTGGTGGATATGGTGGTTGGTGTGGAGGCTGACATGGAGGTTGATGTGGAGGTTGGCGTGGAGGTTGGTGTCAAGGTTGATGTGGAGGTTGATGTGGAGGTGGATGTGGAGGTTGGCGTCGAGATTGGTGTGGACATTGACGTGGAGATCAGCGTGGAGGTGGGCATGAAGGTTGACGTGGAGCTTGATGTGGAGGTGGATGTGGTCGTTGGCATCAAGGCTGGCGTGGAGATTGATGTGGAGGTTGACTTGGAGTTTGGCGTTGAGGTGGGCGTGAAGGTTGATATGGAGGTGGACGTGGAGGTTGGCGTGGAGGTCGGTGTGGAGGTTGGTTTCAAGGTTGATGTGGAGGTAGACACGGAGGTTGATGTGGAGGTGGACGTGGAGGTTGGCGTGGAGGTCGGTGTGGTTGGTTTCAAGGTTGATGTGGAGGTGGACACGGAGGTTGATGTGGAGGTTGGTGTTGAGGTTGATGTGGAGGTTGATGTGGAGGTGGATGTGGAGGTTGGCGTCGAGATTGACGTGGATGTTGACGTGGAGGTTGACGTGGAGGTGGGTGTGGAGGTTGGGGTCGAGGCTGGCCCGGAAATTGTTGTGGAGGTTGGTGTCGAGGTTGACGTGGAGGTGGGCGTGGATGTGGGCGTTGAGGTTGTTTTCGAAGTTTGTTCCCCGGCGAGGGGGTTGACGGGCATGGTGGTGTGCTTGGTGTTTGATGTGGTCATAGGCATTGATGGTTTTCCGCTGTCATCCTCCATGGGTTTTGTCGTGGCAGTGGTGGATGTGGTTGTCTCGTCGCCGGCAGCCATGATGGTTTTGTTGGTGGTGGTCGCAGCAGAGCTGGGGATGGCGCTGGTGGCCATGTTTTTCTTCCCTGCTGGAGCATTGGTGGCCGTGTTACCCCAGGACAGACACGGCCACTCCTTCCTGGTGGCCATGACCTGCCCTGGCTGACCTCACCAACATCTCCCAAACCCCGTGGACCACCAAAGCCTGCAGAGCCCCAAGGACGCACTGACCCCCCAGCAGAGACACCTGGATGCCTCATGGACCCTCACCCACAACAGACCAACACTTCCCAAAGCCCTGCCCTTGGTTCTCCAAAAACACCCCAAGGATTCCCAAGACCCCCAGCTGGGTCGCAACACCCCCAGTTGGCTCCCAAAACCCCAAAGATCCATTGACCCCCCTCAAACACCCCTGGACCCCCAAAGACCCTCACCCACCACAGATGAACATCTCCCCAGAAACCCAACCTTGGTTCTCCAAAGATGCCCCCAGGATCACCAATACCCCCAAAAACCCATGAACCCCAAGACCCATTGACACCATTAAGGGTTCCTGGACCACCCCAAAGACCCTCACCCACCTCATGCCAACACCCCCCCAAAAACCCAACCTTGGTTCTCCAAAGAAGCCCCCTGGGCTCCCCAGACCCTCCAGATCCCCATCTGCGTCCCAAAAACTCAGGGATTCACCTCAAAACCCCACAGACCCCCCTCAAAAGACCCCTTGACCCCCCACCAAAAGCCCATTGACACTCTCTTGAGCCCCCTCAATAGACCACTGGACCTCCAAAGACCCCCATCCAACTAATCCCCCCAAAACCCAACCTCGGTTCTCCAAAAATGCCGCAGAGACTCCCCAGACCCTCAAGACCCCCAGCTGGGTTCCAAAGACCCAAGGACTCCTCTCAAAGACCTTTGGACCCTCCCCCAAAAATCCATTGACCACCCCCCAAAGACCCCTGGACCTCCAAAGACCCCCATCCACAACATCCCCCCCAAAGACCCACCCTTGGTTCTCCAGTCATTCTCAAGACCCCAACTGGGTCCTGAACTTACTAGTCGTGTCCTAAAGACCCCTGGACCCCCCCAAAGACCCCTGGACTCCTCCAAAGGCCCCTGCACCCCCCAAAGACCCCAGGACCCCCTCAAAGACCCCTGGCCCTCCAAAGACCCCCATCCACAACATCCCCCCAAAGACCCGCCTTGACTCCCCAGACCCCAACTGGGTCCTGTACCCTCCAGTTGGGTCGCAAAGACCCTCGGACCCCCCTGAAGACCCCTGAACCCCCCCCAAAGACCCATAGATGACCCTAAAGACCCCCAGACCCACCCAAAGACCCCTGGACCTCCAAAGACCCCCACTCGTGGTTCTGGAGCCCTCCCACCACGGGATGGGGGACTCGTCCCTGTGCCACCACAGGTGGGGAGGGGTCCCAGTGCCACCACAGGGTGGGGGACATGTCCCACTGCAACCACGGGTGAGGAGGGGGTCCCAGTGCCACCACGGGGAGGGGTCCCAGTGCCACCACGTGGAGAGGTCCCATTGCCACCCTGAGGTGGGGAGGGGGTCCCAGTGCCACCACGTGGAGAGGTCCCAGTGCCACCATGGGGTGGGGAGAGGCCCCAGTGCCACCACAGGGTGGGGGACATGTCCCACTGCAACCACGGGTGAGGAGGGGGTCCCAGTGCCACCACGGGGAGGGGTCCCAGTGCCACCACGTGGAGAGGTCCCAGTGCCACCATGGGGTGGGGGACATTTCCCAGGGCCGCCACGGGTGGGGGACATGTTCCAGTGCCACCACAGGGAGGGGTCCCAGTGCCACCACAGGTAGGGTCCCAGTGCCACCACGCGGAGGGGTCCCAGTGCCACCACAGGGAGGGGTCCCAGTGCCACCACGCGAAGGGGTCCCAGTGCCACCACGTGGAGAGGTCCCAGTGCCACCATGGGGTGGGGAGAGGCCCCAGTGCCACCACAGGGTGGGGGACATGTCCCACTGCAACCACGGGTGAGGAGGGGGTCCCAGTGCCACCACGGGGAGGGGTCCCAGTGCCACCACGTGGAGAGGTCCCATTGCCACCCTGAGGTGGGGAGGGGGTCCCAGTGCCACCACGTGGAGAGGTCCCAGTGCCACCATGGGGTGGGGAGAGGCCCCAGTGCCACCACGGGGTGGGAGACATGTCCCAGTGCCACCATGGGTGGGGGACGTGTTCCAGTGCCACCACAGGGAGGGGTCCCAGTGCCACCGTGTCCCACCTGTGAAGAGGAGCAGGACGCAGACGCAGAGCGCGGCCGGGCTGCCCCACAGCCGCCCCATGGCCCCGAGACGCCGCAGTCGGGGGGCAGAGAGGGGACACGAGGATCCGTCCCCAACGGCTGGCAGAGCGGGACTGGGGACACGGAGGGCACCTGGAGGGGACCTTTGGTCACAATAAAAGGAGGTGGGAGAAACGAAAGCAACGCTGCAGGTGCCAGGAATGCGCTGACAGGTGCCACCACCCTGTCCCCCGGCACGTGGCACGGCAAAGGGACGCCAGGTGGCCTTGAGGGGCTGGTGGCACTCCCACGAGGTTCAGGAGGTTCCTCGGGGTTCCTCAGGGCGCGTCGCGGTGGCTCCAGGGGAACGTCCAGGCGTGGCCAAGGCCGTGGGGACGCGGGACGTGATGTGGGGGGGTGTGGGACAGGGGACAAGGGACATGGGGTGGGGACAGGGGACACGGGATGGGGACATGGGTCATGGGGGGAACATGGGATGGGGATGTGGGGCACGGGGTCAGGATGTGGGACAGGAGACACGGGATGGGGACATGGGACATGGGATGGGGATGTGGGACATGGGTGGGGGTGTGGGACACGGGACATGGGACACAGGATGGGGACATGGGACATGGGATATGGGACACGGGACATGGGATATGGGCCACGGGACAAGGACAAGGGACACGGGATGGGGACATGGGACATTGCTGGGACATGGGATGAGGACATGGGACACGGGGTGGGGACATTGGACAGGGAATGTGGGACACAGGATGGGGACATGGGACATTAGAAGGGACACGGGATTTGGGACACGGGATGGGGACACGGTGGGGGACACAGGATTTGGGACACGGGATTTGGGACATTTGGGGCACAGGATTTGTGACACTGAGGGGGACATGAGATTTGGGACAAGGGACATGGGACACAGGATTTGGGACATGGGATGGGGACATTGCAGGGGACTTGGGACATGGAGGGGACACGGCATTTGGGACACGGCATTTGGGACACGGCATTTGGGACACTGGGGGGACACGGGACACCCCTGTGGGGTGGCAGCGCTGGGGATGGGGACAGATTTGGGGTCTGCTGGAGGTTTTGGGGTGAATCCCTTCGTTTTGGGGTGAATCCCTTCATTTTGGGGTGAATCCCTTCGTTTTTGGGGTGAATCCCTTCGTTTTGGGGTGAATCCCTTCGTTTTTGGGGTGCAGTGAGGATTTGAGGTGAATCCACAAGGACTTGGGGGTGAATCCATGTGAATTTCAGGGTGGATCTGTTCAGTTTTGGGGTCAATCCCAGTGAATTTGGGGCTGTGGAAGTTTTTGGGATTAATCCCTTCATTTTTTGGTGAATCCCTTCAGTTTTGGGGTGCAATGAGGCTTTGGGGTGAATCCACCTGGATTTGGGGGTGAATCCACGTGAATTTCAGGGCGGATCTGTTCAGTTTCGGGGTCAATTTGGGGTCAGTTTTGTCACTTTGGGGCTGTGGAAGTTTTTGGGGTGAATCCCTCCAGCTTTGGGGTCACAGCGAGGTTTTTGGGATGGATTCGGGGCCCGGTGCCCGTTTTTGGGGTGAATCACGAGGAATTTGGGATGAGCTGGATGTGACGCCCCCCCCCCTCCCTGGGGACCCCACAGGAAGGAGCCGAGACCCGGCTGAGTCACCCCAAAATGAGTCACCCCTGGGGGGGGGGGGGCCTGGGGGGGGGTTTGGGG